ATAAGGTAGTGAACTAATTGGTTCTTTGCTATATTTCGAGTCTTATTTTGAAGCATTTAGCTGTTTTGTCACAAGTACTTGAGTTTGGTCGACACCTCGGACGTCTTTTGTTCCTCCGCCAGCACTCCTACTGTGTGTTTTTGCCCCAGGCGGACCTAAATAATCTGCGAACATATTATTTATTTTTGGAACGATTTGACCACCGCGATAACTTTGAAGCATTCGAGGGTCGGTAAAATGTTTTGTAAGAGGTTTTTACAGATCATATTGCGTCTGTCCACTTATGGCCGGTTTGGTTCCTGGTGCTGAACTTGGAGCTGGTTTCTTAAGCGCGTGTGCATCGTGACATTGAGCCTTTACCTTTCAGAAGCGTGTTCGTGGAGACAAAGCACTCACCCCTCAGCTTTCTGCGGAGTTGTAGCTCCCATGCCGTGGTCATATTCGCTAGGAGTAGCAACCAGAGAGATTATTTCTTGTTTGTCTTTGTATTATTATTATTATATTTCTTCACTATATTTCTGTCTACCGTGTAAGAAACACTTCCCCGCAGCTCCTCGGCTGTTACATCCACCATGAACCACTACAGTCCTTTACTTTGTGTGTGTCTCTGTCTCATGTATGAAGTTATTCATTGCAGCAATTATGGTAAATGCAGCTTTATGTATTCTGTAGTTATGAATTAGTAAAACTCTATTTTGAAAAATAAGATACTTTTGAAAAAAAAAATACGTAAAAATAAGCCAACGTGATGCAACAAAGGTGTTTGTGTATATAAAGTATCATGTACTTGCTGATAATTTAACTGATTTTAAATGTGGTTAAAAAAACGGTTTGAGTTTAAACTGAACTTTAAATCCAATCTAGTTTCTTCATCAGCTACAATAATCCCAGTGTTCCTACATGTATTGGTTCCTCACAGACCACTGTGGAGCAGTGCTGCCTGCAGTGGTCCCCTGTGTTGTCACATATGGAATACCAGAGATGCCATGTTGGTGCTTCAGGCAGGACTGAGTGCAGACCACTCGATGGCTCCGATCGACTGTAAACTTGACAAATAAACTTACATTGTTGCATCCTATTGTTCTCGTCTGTGGTGACGTAACGTTGTGCCGACCGACCCGTGTGAAAGGGCTAATTGGAACAAATGCAAAGTTCAAGGTGCCACGTTGTGAGGAAGTAGTTTGTCCCAATTGACTGCAACAGTACTTGCTTTGTGAGGGCAGCTGCAGTACGTACTAAACGTAAAAAAGTATGCGACTTAGAACGCAGCTAAAATAAGCATTTAGCTCCAAGCTCCATGTTTTCCTCAGGAGTTGGTGCAGACCAAAACCTCAACACACCATCCTGTAAGTGCCAATGTGTGAATTGTCTGCAACCGCTTTACATCCAGTAGATTCCATCCAGTAAATGGCATCAAGCTATTTGACTAACAGGCTAAGCTTATGACTTTTATCCTGGACTGCATACTCTATCAGGATAATGTTATCTATTGGGAGCTGAGCTCTTTCCTCACACCTCTATCTCTACATATAGTAGTTTGCTGCTTTATTAATGCTCTGAATGTCGTCCATTACTCCTTTAATTATGTTTTACAGTTGGGGTGGCTCTAAAAACCGCCAACAGGGGTATACGAGTCGCTTTATAAAAAAAATCATGTTCATCAGCAATTAAAGTATGAAGGTGATTAAAAATAATGCTACGAGTGTTTTTGAGCTGTTAAAGATGACCTCTGACAGAACACAAGGAGGAACATATCAAAAATAGAAACTCAATACTTTCTCATTTTTACACTTTCAACCAATGTTTATTGTTATTCATATTGTTTTATTTGTGATTTGCCAAAGTAAGATCTTTGAAGTTTTTTGATTTAGGAAAAACCGAAGAACTCAGAGCATATTGTTTGAGGCGGATCCACATCTATCTTCCTCGAACCAGTTCCCTTCTAGCCATATTAATACAGGTCAATTGAACTTGCACTCTCTATAGCAGTCCTCCACCTCAGTCAAAAACGCGCCCCGGAGCTCGCGCGCTACCCGGAAACGGAAAAGACCAAGGAGGCGGAGATGACGTCGGTGTTTACAGCACTCAATTGTGTCCCGTCGCGAGCTGAACGTGAGCTGAGAAAGCGCCTACAGTAGAATCTCCATTTCACACATTTCCCCGCGTTGTTGTCGTATTTTAATGGGGGGTCACGGGAGCGAGCCCGAGTCGATCGACTACTCGGTGCACGAGGCCTGGAATGAGGCGACCAACGTGTACCTGCTGGTGATCCTGGTCAGCTTCGGCCTGCTGATGTACGCCAGAAAGTAAGGACGCAGTCAGCTCTCCACGGAATCATTGGATCGTTGTGTTCTTTGCTTATAGATAGAGGTACAACGGATAGATATGCAGAAAAATATATAGTTTAACACCATTTTTAAAGAAATAAATACATAATTATGTTGTGTAAAATCCGATATTTGAGTAAATATATCATTAAGTTCTTTCACTGTTTGTTGAACATCTCACTGACCTGCACCGTACATGTGTCCTATAGTGTGGCATAAAACATTTAAGAAATATTACATAATATAAAAATAGCATGAGAGAAACATGTTCACAGTGACACCTATTTTCATCCAGTTATTTATTCATCAATATATTTATTTGATATTATGAATACTGCCTTCCCCCCATGGATTGGGAGAAATTTGCTGCCATCCTTTCCAAACTGTTAGAGATGTAACCAATTTAAGATAAGTGATGGTTATATTTCCCATAATGCAATAGTCAGCTGTTTTCTTTACATATTTTGAGATCATTTTAGGTTCTCTTATGTGTCCCACAATAGGACATTATGTCCCACTGAAGCTCACTTTGAATATGTTAAAGAAGGAACAACATTTCATCTTGATACCGACAATAACAGATACTTTTTATGTCAAAACAAAGAATCATTTGTCGGGTCGTCTGGCTAATTCTGCATTCATGTAACCCTCCAAACTCAATGTATTTCAATGATGTGTCCATTTAAATTATTGTTGTGAATGGTCAGAAATGAACGGTGATATTCCGTATAAGCAATATGGCCTCTCTCTCGCTCTCTTCCTGAAATCTGTCTCTGTGTTCACCTCTAACCTAGAAACAAGAGGAAGATCATGCGTATCTTCACTCTGCCCCCCACCGTTGGCAGCAGCCCGGAGCCCAACTTCTACGACAGCCTGCAGAAGGTCCGCCTGCGGCAGCAGCTGGAGATGTACTCTCTGGGTGAGCGTCGCTGTAGCTCACAGGATCTGGGATTATAATTGTTGGAATGCTGTTAAGCATTCCAACAATTGTGCTTCAAATCTTTATTCCTCTTTATTTTATATTTCTTCCGTACACTTTTTGCTACTTAACTCCTTCCACATTTTTTAAGCTACAGAAACCGTTCAACTATCAAAAATGTTCAGCTCTTTCAGTTCATGTCTGCTATATCTCTTCATATTTCTAATATTTAAACTTTTTGAATTATTAAGCTTTTTGCAATTTTTTTTTTTTGAATGGGATGTCTATGGAGAATATTTTCAAATCCTCTTAAACTTCTTCAAATTTCAAATCCTTCTACTTCCTCATACTTTCAGCTACAGGCACCATTTCAACTTTCAAATGTTGAGAAAACCCTGATCTATTGCAGAATGATTCAGCTTTGTGATATCTATTTAACTTTTTGAACTGCAGCAATTTAACTTTTATGATTTTTTCAGCCCTTTTCTGACTTTATAATGGGTGTGTATTGCGCAGTTTAGAGTGCGTGATGTCACCGCTAGAGTGAAGAGCAGCTTGAGATTCTTGTGAAAAAACATTTGTCTTTTGCCACTGTGTCCACAATCTTCACTCTTCATGCATAATCTCTGGATGTAGAAGTAGCTAATCTTGTCCTTGTTGTAGACAAATGACTGTGGAATCCCACAGATTTACACATTTGGCACAGAAGCCTGTTATTGAGAGGAAAACCAACTTTCTGCTCCATAGAGACCAATGTTAAATTTTGCCTCAAAAACATCTTCCACAGAACACGGTACCCCATTTCTAGATCGCCAGTTCAGCCACATTTTTTACACCACAGACACAATTTTTACAGGATCTGTTTCTCAAGGCATCCTTCCTCTCATTGATTAATATCGGAGCAATAGGAGCTACGGTTATGGGAGTTTTGATGATTTGTTTGAGAGGTGTTTGCCTGTTTAATCTCCATGAAAAGGCTGCAAGGACACAGGTGTTTCTGATTAAGCTAATTAGTGATGTTGATAAACACAGACACACACGCACTCCTCTCTCTCTCTCTCTCTCTCTCTCTCTCTCTCTCTGTGTCTCTCTCTCTCATAGTCATTCAGGTTCTTAGAGATCTTTAGAGGATCTCCCCCCCCCCCCCACACACACACACACCCCATTTTAAAATAAAAGCCCCACAGAGTGAATTCTAACTGGAATGCTTGTGATGAAGCCTGTCATTTAATAACCTCTGTTTATGTGTGTCAAACATTATGATTGTCTCTTCTCCCCCACCCAGTCCCACCCTTTCAAAATAAAAGCCCCACAGAGTGAAATCTAACTTCATCTAACTTTTGATGAAGACTGTCATTTAAAAACCTCTGTTTCATACATTCTGATTCTGTCTCCTCTCCTTTCTCCCCCACCCAGCCCCTCTTTCAAAATAAAAGCCTCATGGATTAACTGTATTTAAACGTTAAGCTCAAAATGAGGCTTTTTTGTTGAAAAACGTAATGCTCTGACTAATACTGCGACAACTACTACTGCTGCTAATATAGTATTGCTACTACTTCTACTATAACTTTTGCTGTTGCTACTATTACTACTACTACTACTGCTACTTCTTCTACTGCCATTACTATTACTAATATAAATACTTCTACTACTACTACTGTTATATTAAATACTACGACCAATACTACAGCTATTACTACGACTACTGATACTACTACTTCTACTACTTCTTCTAATTACTAATACTTCTACTACAACTACAACTTCCACTACTACAATTATCACTACAGGACTTTTCCCTTTCAAAATGTTCAGCTCTTTCAGGAGAGGGGTGCTTTGACTTTTCATAATGTAATCTTTTAACTTTTTGAAATATTAAGCTATTTGCAATTTTTTTAATGGGATCTCTATGGAGAAAATCTTCAAATCCTGTTAAACTTCAACTTTCAAAGCCTTCTTCTTCTCATACTTTCAGCTACAGACACCATAGTGAGACATTTCAAGTAGAAGGGTTTTCAGCAGTGCAGTTTAAATGCTTTCAAGCATCAACATTTTTCAGACAGGTAGTCTCCCATTTCTTAATTTTCAGCAATTATTTTACAATTAATTTCAGCTTTCAGCATTCCAACGCATTTTCAGCAGGAAATGCATTTTCTAGTTCAAAATGTATCTCTCACCCTGTCCCATTCTATAGAAAAGAGATATGATTATTAAATAATGTTTCAACCCATTATTTTCTGGTTAAACACCAGGAAGTGCACTCATGTAAACCTCTAATAACAGACCAATGTTTCAGTTTGATGACCTCAAACGTGTTTCATGTTTCATTCTGGGTACATTCAAATGTTCTCCTGTCCTTTTAGCCAGGAAGTTTGACCAGCAGCAGGGCCAGACAGACAGTGTGCAGCTCTCCATGGAATGAGAGCAGAAGGAAACTCCTCCACCTCGTCATCAGAGGAAACACTCCTGCATGTTCGAGCCCTCTGTACGTGGAAATGGAGGGATTTTAAATGGCTGTCCCGATCAGAGATGGAGCAGAAGACGCTGCGCTGAGAGGCGTCTTCGTTCACCTTCTTGTTGTCTCTTTGTCGTCTATCACTAGTGGAGTAAATGCAGCCGGACGGATGGAGAAGCAGCACATGGAGCAGAGACTCTAACATGGATTGAGAAGTGATGAAGAAGTTAATCATGAAGATTTTTTTTTGCACATATAACACGATCCTCCAGATATAATGTAGGTTCTAGTTGGTTTCCGTTTGTTTTCTACTTGTTTGTTAAATGTTTTGTCATTTGTCGTGAAATCAAGATTCTCACATGTGAAAATAAAGATACTTTAACCATCAGCCAATGTCTTGATTATCAGTCCTGAGACAATCAGATAAGCATAATGAATGGTCTGGGTTTTTGTGGCACAAAAACAAGAGGCGTCTGTCCATGCAGGTAGTTTTAGCAAATTAAATCCCATTGACAGAGATAAATATATTAAAGGTGTAATATATGGTGATTGGGAGAAGCTCTGATAACAGCGCACACAGAGGGGGTGTGACTTCTCTGCTCAGGTAGATATTACTATGTATCTCTACACAGTAAATAGTTTACTGCTATATTAATGCTCTGAATTGCATATATTGCACCTTTAAAAGCAGCACAATTAAACCAAAGCTACCTGCGGGGCTAGAACACAGGAGAGGCAAGTAAGAAACAAGTTTGGTAGTTAGGATGAGTCGACAACACTCCTTTCATTGCAGCCATGAAGGTTTTATTTCTACTGAAACATCCAGTAAACTGCTCCGTTACTGAAGGAACAGGTCCATTAATAACAAACATAACCCTGGTAATGAAGGAATCGGACATGTTCCCTGATCATCAATGCAGTCAGTTTATAGAGAAGTGTGTTTTCTTCCCAAACACAGAACACTAATCCAAAAGAAAAAAAAAGCATGCTCACTATTTACTGTTAAATTGGGTTTCTTTGTGAGCCAGACAGGTCAGGTATGAATGGAACATGTATAGTATTTACAAGCATTATGGACTGACCTATCATATGGTTTCACTACACACAGATTGCTTCAGCAGTGCAAACATGGCCGCTGGTGTATGAACCTCTTTGGAAATGTTTTATCTCCTGCGTGAGATTGGTGAAGCTTGGCACAGACATGTTTAAAGGGAAAATATACAGAATGCTCCAGGCATAAAATTAAATTATACAAAGCGAGCATAGAGAGTATAAAAATAACACGTTTTGCAACAAAATATAAAAAAAACAACCAAAAATTATATACAAAAACCAGGCAGCTGGCTGGGAAACCGCAATAAAATAAAGTGTGTGTATTCACACGGTACAGCAAGCGGATTGTGCAGAAGTCCAATAAAGTTCAAGTGGCAGCAGCAGCATGGTCATCTACAATGCAATGTGCAAGGACCCCTCAGTGTGGGCCGCGGGGGCAGATGTCCACGTCGTCCAGAGACAGGCTGCTGGCGTACTTGGACGACCAGTCTCTGAGGAACAGCTCCTCCGCTTGGCTCTGCAGGGTCTCTTGGCCCTGTTCTACCACAGAGCCGGTCTGGTTCACCACCAAGCCCGCTCCGGCTGTCTGGGTGAAGTAGTTCTCCGACCAGTTGGACGTCCCTGTGAACACGGACACGTCAGAACGCACGACTGTCACAGGAACTACGAGGTTTTCTTCTCTGAATAAAGCATCATGTTTCAGAAGCAAATTTTATGTTTTGCATGAAATATTATCTGCAAAATTAGTAGTACTCGTCAGGCAAATGTAGGGGAGCAATAAGTACGATATTTCCCTCTGAAATGTATCTCATAACTGTACTTCAGAGGTAACTTTGGTATTTGTTTACTTGGACGCTGCAGCCTCTGACTTGTTTTTGCCACCGACAGGCTCAGATTGTTATCATACGTGTCCGACAACTCTATTGATGGACCCAACCGAGGAATAAAACCTTATTCTTTACTTCTCTGTTTGTTAATGCGTCATGTGACTTGTTGCCAGAAGACAACGGTGGAAACGTGAGTGAGAGTTGGACAGAGCAGTGCCGGAGTAGTCAGGGTTTGTTGTGTTTGAGTACAAAAAAAGCTAAGCTCATTGTTACCTAGAAGATTTTCAATGTCATGGCTGAATATTTGGATGATTTCAATGATGTCAGTAATTGCTGATAGCATACCTATGTAGACCACTCTGTCTGTGACCATGTACTTGGCATGATTGACTCGAGCAAAGGGAATCTTCATCTGCTTCCCTGTTGAAGGCACTCTAAATATTTTCTGCACAGCGACAAAACATCAGGAGTTTAGGATACAACAGCATTCTGTTTAAGTCACTGTGTCATCATGCAGGAAATAGAAAACCCCCCCCAACGCACCACGTCAATGTCACACTTCAAATGAGGCCTGTTGAGCACCAGCAGGGACTGCAGGAAGGGGAACATGGGGGCGGGAGAGTGCTTCCAGCAGCTGACCAGGAGGCGGACCTGCACGCCTCTGGTGCAGGCCGCAGCACGCAGGGCCGAGTCGATGGCCGGCCAGAACCTGAGAGAGAAGGACCAACGAACCCTTTAGCTTTCTAGAAGATGGACCGATACCAGGATGACTTTGGTGCTGGAGGAAGGGATCATGTATGGGCTACTTAAAAAAAGATTTCACAGGAGAATGCATTTTCCTCTGTCATGTATTCACACCAGTGTGTCTGTGTCTACCATTGTAACAGTGCAGTGGTAATCACTGGGGTCACCTGAGCGGCTCCGTGTACTGAGACAGAGGGAGGTAGTCCATGACAGAGACGTGAACGAATCTCTGGGCGTCGTCGATGACGGACAGGATGGTGGAGAGATCGTCGGAGCGGCCGCGGGCAGAGATCTGCGGAGGGGAGCTCTGCAGGAGACGGATGCAACGCAGGAGGTGAGAAACACGGGAGCAACCAGAGAGGACATGCCATCTTAGGATAATCAATTTTTAATGTGAAAATGGTTCAAAATAATTTGTCACATGATGATGTAAATGCTATTCTCCTATTCCACTGAAATCTGCACAATGTGTCTTCCTGTTGGAGGAAGCTCGGAGAGTCGATCTGTACTTACAGACAGGTAGACTTGAGCAGGCACTCCGTTGAACTTCAAGCGCAGGGGATTCTGGGAGCTGGACAGGGCGGAGAGACGAGCCGGCCAGTACGGCGGCAGGGAGCCGTTGCTCGCACCGCCGACGCTCCAGTACACTCCAAAGATCCGAGAGGCGTCCTGAGCCAGGCAGCTGCAGTCCTCCACCGACAGGCCCACTTCCTTCACCTCGTTTCAACAAAGCACACGGCGGGGTTACTTTCTGTCTGACATCTAGAGTCTGTAGAAATGCTATTAACTTGCTGCCACATCAGTTCAACTGAGGTCAAATCTACTGCTACATCTACGCCCGCCAATGCGGACACCGTGCTACCTGACTCAGAGAGCGCCAGTCCATGTTGGCACTACCCAGGTAGAAGTGCTTCTGATCCACCACCCATAGCTTGGTGTGGACGATGCCTCCAGTGACAGCCTTGAGGTCTACCTCTCTGACTTCTGCACCTGGAAATAAAAATAAAAACACGCAGACGATCAGAAATGACTGCAGTCATCACCCAAACTTGTTGGATAGTAGTTCATTTTTAAACCGGATTAAATCATGGTTTGACTTTTGAATCACGTTTATAACTTTTACCAGACTTTATAACCACCTTACATTCAGAAAACTAGTTTTTTTCTCTAGATCAAATTTGATTATGTTTCACCAAAACTTTAAACATCAATTAAAAGTGTGGTCCAGAATTAAGTTAAATTACACTTGAGTTTAACTTTCAAATGGATTTTTTCTTACAGTGTTTTTATTTGGTTTATGTGTTATTTTGCTGTTGTCCATGTTTTTTTTTTTAAATATTATTTTGGCATATTTCTGCATTAATTCGGCCAACAACTTTTCTGTTGAGCCATCGTGTGTTCCATTGGGCTAACTGACTGACTTTTTAGCTCGCTAAAACAATATCATGTTTTAAGGACTAAAGCGCAGATTAAACTTTGATTTGGGTTTAAACTTGAATTTACTGAAATCAAGACTAGTTTTTTTGTGCAACAGAGCTCTGCTTACTTATACATTTGCTCAGTTTAAACCTAGTTTTGCTAAACTCTGTTTAGGACTAATCTTAGATTAAATGAATCTGTGTTAGTGCAACCCAGCCTTAGTGTGTGTGTTTTAACATACAAATGATGTGGCCTAGTTATATTTTACACACGACACAGAGGCAACGAAATCCATACTGTGTGTGACAACGTACCTGCTGCAGCCAGTTCTGCCGTATCTTCACTTGAGGTCTGGGGGGCGTTGACGGCAATCTGGAGTTTCACACCTTTGGATTTGAGCCGTTTAAGTTGCTCAAAGACCAGTCTCCCCTACGAAAGTGTGTAGACGTGATGTCACACACATTCGAGGTTCAAACGATTACTGCATCATGAGATTAGAGCATGCCACTGAGCTCACCTGAGAGTCAGAGGAGCCCGCGAACTCGTCGCCCCGCAGAGTGAAGTAGAAAGCGGCGATATGCACCGAGCTGTTAGCCCTGTCCAGCAGACGTAGCCAGCTGTCTGCGATGCTCCGTCTGGATGAGGGAGCAGACTGGTAGAGACCCTCAGGGATGCTCTCCACCAGCTGCACTCTGAGTAAAGAGGGGAGAGACACTAAAGCTACAACCACTTACAAACAAAACCGCCATCATCTTAAACTAGAGAAGACTCTTTTTGGCCTCTTTGCCTTTACCAGATAGGACAGACTGAGACTGGAAAAGGGGGAGAGAGAAGGGCCGACATGCAGTACAGCGCCATGAGCCGGATTTGAACCCAGGCCGCTACAAATTCTCATGTTTTGTCACAGCTAATGGCTCACAAAAACAAAGCGTCTTACCGACAATCGGTGCTGCAAGGCTCTGGTACAAAGCCCTCCAGCCAGTGCAGCTCCAGCTGAGCTGCGAGCTGAGCCACGGACAGGGGAAGGCCGTAGTGCCAAACGTGCTGGCCGAACCCCCCTAGAAGCAGCAAGGTGGTGGGCAGGAAGCAGAAGAGGGCGAAACTGGAGCATCCAGAGCTCTGCGGAACAAGACCAGCACCAGTTTAACTCGTGAGCGAATGTGTGAAGCTACGATGACCGCTTTGACAGGAGACTGGGAAACAGCTGAGGACCGTGTTGCATGCCAAAGCTGTCACTGCAGGGCGTGGTGACATTCCTTTGTGTGTGGCTGACTTTGCTGAGACCACCGAGACGACAGTATGAGGCAGTAAGATCTACACGACTCACCTTAGTTGACCTGGCTGACTGAGCTCTGGCGGGCTTCTCTGGCGCTACAGGAGAGGTGGAGTCGGCGACGTCGGCAAGATCTGAAACCTCGGGCTGGCTTATTGTGAGCGGTTCGCGATACTCCTCCACTGAATCGTGGCCCGCAGACTCCTCACCTGCAGACTCCTCACCCGCAGACTCCTCACCCGCAGACTCGTCCTCGCATTCAACGTCTGAAGAGGATCTGCACTCCCTAAATTCGAGCGTGTGCATCGGCTCCGTCTCCCACGGCGGCTGTTCGTCCATAATAGCCTTCTCTTTGCTAACCTCAGTCGAGTGAAGGATGTCCGCAGGCACGGACTTTACCATGTCTCCAGAGGTGGCGAGGGTGATCCTGCTTCTGACCACAACACCGTACTCCTTTTCTGGGTCATCCTGTGCGGCACCAGCTTCTGTTTCAAAGGCGTGGCGCTGGTCTCGCTCTTGTACGTGCTGCTCCGACCCTTGCTCTGGTCTGAGGGCAGGCCTGGGGCTCGCAGTCATTGACGAGTATTGCGCAAACTCGGACAAACTCCAGCTCTTGGGTGCAGTAACCAGGGGACTATGGGCTGCTGCTGCTAGTTCTGTGCTGCCGAACAGAGAGGGGGCTTCCAGGCCCACATTGGGGACGCGGACCGTTGGGAGGGGGAGTGCCGTTTCTCTGATGTCGGACGGCTTGGATTTCGAGGCCTCCGCACTCCCACTCCCCGGAGGCTGAGCTCCGGGGACAGGGGCATCTTTCTTGGGAGCGGGCGGCTCCGGGGCCTGGCTTGCAATGGCCGGCCGTTTGTGGAAAGTGGGGATCCGTGAGACGGGTTTCCCGCCTTTGCGGTTCATGTCTTCTTTCTCCTCGAGCTCTCTTCTTGCAGCCTTGTCGTCAACCCGCAGGCGGTCCAGCACAACTCTGCAATACTTCAGCTCCTGAGGAAGACAGCACTTTATGAGACGAAAACAAACAAACAAACATGCATCTTGTGTGTGGCTTACATGAAAATCGATCTAAGTTTTAACCCAGTGGCTCTATGGCGACATCCTTAGCTGCACATAACTCCTGAAATAACTTTTTTTTTTTTTTTTAAAAAGCCAGCAGTTAAAAAGACATTGTAATCTTTTGTCTCTTGTCTTGACACTGTGTAACAACGATACAGTAACACTGAATATTGCCTGGAGACGCTTCCGTAGCATGAAGGCGTGGCTGCTCTACTGGGTCATATTTCTGCGGTGTATGTAGATGTATTGTAGTCCTCCTGTTAACAATGACATGTAACTTTCCAAACAGTGTTTAATTTACCATACATTGATGCTGCTGAACTGCTACTATTAAGTGATTCTTTTCCTCCAATGTTTTTAATTTGTACTCGTCTTATTGTGCAGTGACAGTTTTTACTTGTCACAGTAAGATAACTCCTGGTGTAAATAATTCATGGTGGACTCCATTGAGCTGCTTCGGTTTCAGGGCCCTGCCATAGAGCATAGTGGCTCACTGTCACGGCTAACCGGGGACACCTCAATCATCCAGCAGGGCCCTCGTTAATGTTATCAGTGACACCTGTGCTTGTCCCACAATGACCAGACACAATGTCTGCTGTGGAAAAACTATCCAGTCCAGCTGATACAGCATTGTTTGGGAAAAATGTCAATGTCCGCCAATGGTCTCTTGTTTGAAAAAAAGCACAACATAATTCTTTTTTAAGATGATGCTTCAAATAAGATTTTTTTGAAAGAATTACACCCATGATATATACCGAACAGGACATTTTGCAGTTAGACTAAAAACATGTTTTTTTTAAGTTACTTGAAACATATTTGGGAATTTACTGTAACGTTTTACACTACAATTTATAGTACATGATCTGCCAGCCTGTACACTGATAACAATATATAAATAAGTTAACTTAAAGCCTGACTGACTTACACTGACAGTCCAACATTGTTAGTTAAATGAAATTTGTGGGCAGATATGCAAGTCGTGTTCACTTGATGCTAAATATAGAGCTTCACTGCTCTACAACCATAGACTGTTTCGGCTAAATGAGATTAGGACACTTCCGCACTAGTCTGCGAATATTTCCTGATGGCGATAAGAAGCTGCAGCACAGACAGAGCTTCATTTCTCTCACCACATGGCTGCAAAATAACAGTTATCCAGTCGGTCTCGGTGGGTACGCTTCTCCGGCCTGTACGAAGCACCTAACAGCATGACGTGTGTGTGTGTGTGTGTGCGTGTGTGTGCGAGGTGAATTATAGACTACCGTTACACCAGCCTCCTCAGCAGTTTCCTCCTCCAGGTCAGCAGGGACACTAGGAAGCGTCTCCATCACTTGGCCCCGCACAGACTCAGAGTCTGACTCATCCAAATCCTGACGGGACAAGATCGGTAACGTTCAGTTAACGAGACACCGCAACAAAGCACCGGTTATATTCCACAGTGTGAGATTGAAGGACGTGTATTTGAACCTACAAAAAGGCCAAAAGTAAAGACGTCGTGTTATCTTCTACACATAGTAAACACCGTCAGCGTGAAAAAAAACCCACTTACCATGATGCAGTAACTTGCTAGGTAAGTTCTTGCTGGGCGGAGGGGTTTGACGCTCGCGATGCAGTTATTAGCTATTAACGGTTATGCTAACCGGATAAACAACTATGACATACGGTAAAGTAGTAATAGCAGTATATATACGACCGTTTAAGGCAGGCTGGTTTCTATATAAGCCCTTCTGGAGTGTTTCTCTCAAGTTGGACAGCTAACGTCACCGTCGTTGACGTTAGCGAGCAAGCTACGTGGCCGACTGTGAAGTTTTCCGCAGCGGAGGGAGGAAGAGGAGGCGGAGAAGCTGAGTTATAAAAATACCCACCTCGTACGTAGCTCTCCCGCGCGGGCGGGTCGACCTCCTCCGAGTTGCCGGCGGCATCGCATCCAGCAACTCCACCTCAATCGCCTGATTGGGGTGGATGGACCTTCTGGATCGCAGCACCATCGACATGTTGGACCACGTAAACAATGCAGCAGCTCCTTCGTGATGCACGAGATTAACAGCAGGCACGTTTGACTTGCTGATGAGACTCCACTCTGGCTAAAGTCGAGTATAAAAAGGGTCGCATTGAACAGCTGCCAGGGTTATTCAAACACCTTTCCCAGTGACATCAAAACAATACCCGTAACGTTTAACCCGATATGAACGCGCCGTGCTTCTCGAGACAAGTAAACAACAACTTGAAGAAACCGCGATTTCCTGTCACCGCTGATTGGCGGTTGGATTTAAAGCAGTGGCTCCGCCCACCAGACATACGTAGAGCACACAACACGGAAACAAGGGATCACCGTCGTCTGCTGTTATCCAGGAGCTCGGTGTTCACTTCAAATCAGGTCTGTTATTATTGTTACGTGATGATTGACAGCTCTTACATTTGGTGTTCTATTGCGAGAAAGCAAGAGCGTGACAGAGCGACGGGAGAGCTGACATTCACTCTGGTGAACAGAGTTAGTTTCAGTTAGCTGAGCTGTTGTTGAGCTGCCTGAACGGAACTTGAACCGACCTGGTTGTTTATGTTCCAAAGAGCAAAGTAGATGCATGTAGCTAGCTAGCTGGGTTACTGAGTGTCAAAGGTCACCGAACAATACCCAGGGCACGTGAACAACGTGTACAATGTGATGTCCCGCGAGCATCACATGTCTGTCCGATTTCTGCTTCAATTTGTTCTGAAAAGCAGCTGAAAATGAAAGTTCCTGTGTGGAGAACAGCAGTAGGACAATCTCCTGTGATCTGGCAATATTTGTTCACTCACTATTGGTCATTGCAGAATATTATAAGACAAAAGTATTGGCCACAACCTCATAAGGTTTCATGGTGTATATGAAATATTAGTGTTATTGGTCCTCCATACTGCCCATCTCTTGCTCAGTGTTCTGCCCGTGACGTGCTGACCCCTGGTCATTTTGTTTCAGGTCTCTCATGGGAACTGTTCGGGCTGAGAGGGGCAAGGTTTAGCAGTTTGTATTTTGTGTGATGACGGACAGCTAGTCCGTCCCGTCAGCACTCCAATGGAAGCTCCGGTCACAGCCGCCCCTCCTCCCAACTCCTCCTCCCTGCCTGTCCCAGTCCCCCTGCATCCGGCCGTCGCCCCGTCGGTCCAGCTGGGCTTCACCATCCTCTACATCACCCTGTACGCCGCTCTGTTCCTGGTGGTGTACGCGCAGCTCTGGCTCCTCTACCTCTACAGGCACAAGCGCTGGAGCTACCAGAGCGTCTTCCTGTTCCTCTGCCTGCTCTGGGCTGCCATCCGCACCACCCTATTCTCCTTCTACTTCTGCAACGCTCTGCAGGCCAACCACCTGCCCGTCGCAGTCTACTGGCTGCTCTATTGCTTCCCCGTCTGTCTGCAGTTCTTCACTCTCAGCCTCATCAACCTGTATTTCACACAGGTAAGACCGGGAGAACAGGACAGGGGTTGTTTTCTTGAAACTAGGACACACCTGCTGCAATGTAGAGGGGAGTACTGATTAAAAAAAGATGTTATGCCATAGATAAATAAGTGAAAGTAAAAACAAGTTTCACGGTCTTTGAGGAGGGGGAATTCCTTTCACAAGCCGTCTGCATAACAGCTTTTAAGTGAAACCTTGTGGCGCTTTAGAGAGACTGAAAAGAAAGAAATGGTTCCTTTCAGTTTCCTTCTTATTGTCACGTTTGTGTTTACTCTGTTGCGTATTTCTCTCTTGTACCACAGGTGCTACTCAAAGTGAGAGAGACGTATAGCTCAGACGTTGACAGAGGAGTGTAAGTATCACTCTACTGTCAGAATAATACAGTATCAAGCCTTTGTTTCCTGAACCCTGATCTCGATTAGACCCCGATGAGCACTAATCCATCCCTGTCCCCCTCAGGTGGCTGGCGCGGTGCATGTACGGCGCCCTGAGCGCCGTCTTCCTCTGTGTCAATGCGGTCTGCGCGGTCCTCGGGGACAGAGACGCCGGGTCAGGGGAGCGGACCTGGAACCTGGTCCTGGTCCGAGTCCTGGTCAACGACTTGCTCTTCATCCTGGATGCGGTGTTGCTGGCCGCCTTGCTGCTGCTGCTGACCAGACACTCGCGCTCCACCAGCCCCTACCTGATCAGCAAGGTGTGCTCGCCATCGGGCTTTGAAGTGATGCAGCGTTGACTTTATTTTAAATAAAAAGTGGAAATGAACGTATATATTAAAGGGGCGCTCTGGTGACGTCACTATGACGTCATCAGGGTTATCTCGGCTCAGAGAATACACATACTCGGAGAATACACATTTATAACTGTACAAACTGGAATTGGGGCTGTTTACCAATCTGGGAGGGTCTACTGAAAGGGAATATTGAGTTGCATTATGGGAATTCTAGGGGCATACTTTAGGGAAGTGCAATACAAGTCACTGCAGCGCCCCCTAAAACACAAGCCACTTCTCTGTAGTTCTGGTTGTACTCCAGACTGACGGCGTCTTTTTTTCTTCTTCTACCTGACCAGGGGACCACAGTGTGCCGCACAGCGACACTGGGAGCAGCAGTGATCTTGTTGTTTGCCAGCCGAGCCTGCTACAACCTGACGGTGCTCATTGTGTCCCAGAGCCAGCGCGTGGAGTCGTTCAACTTTGACTGGTACAACGTCTCCGACCAGGTGAGCGTTTCAGTCCGAAAGCACAGCGCATTGTTCCAGTTGGCAGTAACGGCTGTCGATATTTTCATATCTCAAAAAACGTCACGATAAGCCACGGCCAGTAAAAATGCCAACACACCATGAGATAACCCTGTGTGTGTGTGTGTGTGTGTGTGTGTGTGTGTGTGTGTGTGTGTGT